TGGTAGCTCGATCAACCTGAAAAACAAATGAGTGAGCATCCTCCAGCTCAATGGTAAAATTCATACTATGCATCGATTCAGTATAAGCACAGATAACATACTAATCATATGAATATGATAAATAAATGCCACATAGACTGGTATTCACTTAGACTGATTGTCACTAGGATTGATTGTCACTTAGACTGGGTGTCACTAAGATTGATTGTCACTTAGAGAAAGTGTCACTAAGACGAATTTCAATAGCATAAGCATAATGGCATTTAGTCTATCACATAGCATTTCACAAAGCATAATGGCACTTAGCCTATCACATAGTATTACACAAAGCATAATGGCACTTAGCCTATCTCATAATATCCGATAAAGAATACTCAGCCCATCGGCCTATAATCACATGCATATAAAAACTATACTACCACGTGGTTATACGAAATAAACAATAGTATAGAACCCCCACCTAGTACTCGTAGGTGGATGAGAAAATGTAGATGGCAAAGTTGATATCACCTAGAAAAGGTCTCAAGTCCCGACTGCTCGAAAATCTACATTTTTAGCACAAAGCTTTTATCAACCCTTAGCTCTTGTGTCGGGACTGGTGGCTTCCAGATTGAGATCTACACTGCAGTCGGTCTGTGAGATCTATACTGAGACCTACTACCAAGGCTCGTGGCAGATACAACACCCACTCATGCGCATCAGATCTACACTGCAGTCGGTCTGTCATTGGATCTCGCACATTTTTCGAGAGGGGAACCGTCTAGCTGACTTTCTTGATGGATCAGGACGACTACCACTCGTTCAGATTCTGGTAGTTTTTTAGTTGTTTCATTTTCTTTCTCTTTTTAGACCTTTTTAGTGTTGTTCTTGTATTGCAGACCCTTTGGTGGTCAGGCTGCTTGCCTGGACTCCTTACAGTGCATGTTTAGATTCCCCTTTTGGGTAGATTTTCGGTGTTTGGTTTATGTATTAGTTGGTCATGTGCAGACCTTGTAAACATTTGCCCTTTTAGGGTTTTGATTATGTACAGGTTTGAGATCCCTCCTTAATCCCCACTATTCGGGGTGGTTCTTTTTTTTTTGTTTTTTATTTTAAAAAAAAAGCCTTTATGAGACACCAAATGTAACATCCAATTAGCATGTCTTGTACTTTATATCTTCAGACTATTTTTTTCACTTGAGTTTTGTAACAAGGTCGAATGAAACACATATTTGATTAATAACCATGGCCCAATTGATCATAACTAGTGTATATTATCCGTATATAGTACATACAACTACGAGGAAAATTTTATAACTGCTCCTTTTTTACATCGATTTAACATAACAGTTGCAAGCCATACACAATACCTAATTTACTCTAACCATTAGACAAAAATAGGCAGACACGAAAAAAAAATTTTAAAAAAAAAATCAAATAAAGATGCAATATTATTTTTAAAAACTACCTCTTCAATATCCTTATCCATTTATTTCTCTCTCTTGAACATCCTTATCTATTTTTTTCTCTCTTCCTTTTTCTTTCTCTCTCTCTCCCGTCTCTTTGTTTTTTTCATTCTCTCTATTTCTCTTCTCTCTCTCTCCAATCTCTTTTCCCGATATTATTTCTATCTTCTTCCCGTTTCATCTTTTCCTCTTCTCTAAATATTTCTTCTTATTCTTCTCCTCCAAACATGAATACCTAAGGAAAAAAGTCAAAAAACAACCAAAAAGATATAATATAAATAAAAAGATGAAACATTCTCTCACACACATTCTCTCTCACCTATCTATCTCAATCTCACGCAGGTCACTCCACGGCCACTGTCCGATGCCAACTGCCACCATCCGCCACCGGTGCCACCATCTCTCTCACCAACCGCCGCCGCTGCCGCGGGCGCCGTAATCTCCACCTCTTTGCCGTCGCTATCTCCCTCTCACGCCATATATATGTATATTATCTATCTCTCAATCTACCTGGCCCGTTTTCAATTTTTTTTTTAAGAGAATGCCGCCGCCGGGCTCTCTTCTCCGACGATCTCAAACCAGGTTTCTGCTGATACGACACATTAGTTTTCCGTCGAGTTTCGGTCTCGACGAACTCAAACTGGGACGATATCTCGTCTCTTCTCCGGCGAGCTCAGACCGGGAAGATAGCTCTTCTTTTCTCCGACGAACTCAAACTGGTCTGACACGAGTTGTCTATTAGACATCGAGTTCCCGCCGGACGCTGTCGATATGGACGTGGGACTCTCGGGTCGTGCAACGAAGAACCGCCCTAGAATGAGCTCTGCACTACCACTGTTTGAGAAGTCCGACTTCAATTTCGTCACAAATCTGGCCGCATCTTCCAACGGCGAAGACTCGGTGAGTTTGGGCGGAGAAGACGAGCAGTCTGGTGCGGTAGATGTGATAATTGATTTTGGGGCTTTTCAAATGAAAATTAGATATTCCCTAGGGCTCATTTTGCAATTTCTAATTTTAATACATGTATAGTTCTTAGGTCCTTTTTCTAAAAGTGTTTTGTTTAAATATGTGGTTTAAACTTTAAAAGGGTTTAGATAAGATGGCTGAAATTAATTAAAGAGCTGAAAATTGATTAAAGGGTTCAAAAATTAAATTGTTGAAAGGTAAAAACAGTTAACTAATCCAACTGAAATTTAAATTTTCGAATTGAAAATTTCGACATAACATGTTTAATTTGTCGACTAACATAAATAACAAAAATAATCGATATAAATTGTATTATTTACTCTGAAATAAATGATTAGATTGAATATTTTTATATTATTTTTTGATTAAACGTATTAGTATATATGTAACAACTACTGTGCAATCTAACAACTACTAAGGTGCAATTTTCCAAACGATATGGTGCACTGTGTCAATATGTATTGGTGCACTGTGTCAATATGTATTGTGCAGATTGAACCAACTGAACTTTTGCACCAATCAAATTGAAAATGAACATAATTAATTGGTTTTTATGTGTTGGTTAACCGAATTATTCTAAATTATCGAAATAATTTTTTATTTATATTAAAATTATATTTAATATGTTAATAATTTTATTTATTATTTTATATTATTTCTGGTTAAAAAAATCGAGTTCGGTTGATTTCATTGTCTATTCGGGGGATATTATAGTCGTGATAAAGTGCATGTGTTATTTTTTATAAAGTGCAACATATTGTTTTATAAAGTGCAACGTGTTGATGTATCAAGTGCAGCGCGTGATGATAAAATTTATATTGTTGTTTTATAAAGTGCAACGCGTTGTTTTATAAAGTGCAACTCGTTATTCTATAAAATGCACTAGTTTATACTATCTCAGATAAATTATGTGTATTCAAAAACTAGTTTTAATATATATATAATTGTACATCGAATTAAGCAAAATACTTAAAATACTTTATTATTCATTATTGTAAATTATATTTAGTATTAAACTTATTTAATATTTATATTATTATTTGTTGGAAATAATAATATTAAAATATAAAGAACTTATTTAAACTTATGCTAAGGTGCGATCACATTAACACAAAAGTGCAATCCGTCAATCAATAATGTACAATATGTCTAATAATATTTTAATATTTTATATTATTTTTATTTAATATTTATATTAAATTTTGGAAATAATATAATATATGTATGTACAAAATATTTAAAAATAATATATTTTAATACATTTTTATATTACAGATTTGACCACATGGATTAAATTCAAATATAATAAATTTTTTTAATATTGCAATTTAACCCCTTCAAATAATCTAATTCTCATAATCAAGCAACTCAATTTTGTCACAACTCTCGCCGGCTCAGGCCCTTGTCGCCGGCTACTTATCGCCGTCCAACTGATGGCCTGGGCATCTGCTCCTCCCGAATCGGAAGTGCCTCTGTTCTTGGAGAAGTTAAGAGAGTCGGGATGAGGCGGAAAAGAATCGCCGAAGCCCGGCGGCGGACAGCGGGCCGACGACATCTTGGAGGACTTTTAAGGCGTATACGGCGGAGGTGCGGTGGTGTCGGATCGTGTATTTTATGTCGCCGTTACTGTTGCCGAGGACCGGGATCTTCTCGACTCTCGAGGTCGCCGGCGGAGATGGGGAAGAAGAGGCGTGAAGAATACAAGTGTTGGTGACGGGCGGCGGTCAGAGGAGCTGGGGAGGAGGATGACGAAGCCGAGCCGAAGGTTGATGGGGAGGTGATTGAGGACGACGGCAATGGCAGATCTGCTGCGTGCGTTTATGAGAGAGAACAGATTTGTGGAGAGATATTGACATATTAAATTGGACTGATGGTATGTGGGACCATTGATGTGGTGGATGATTAGTGTCTAATGTCCATGTTACCCTTACTACTGTTATAATTACAGCTGCTTTGTCAACCGTTAGATTGTTAGATCCAATAGCTGATATTTATTCTTATTTCTTTCCCTAAACACCATTCTCATGTGAACCCAACCCTAATATTATATAGAATCAAAGTTGACATAAAATATATTAATAACATATCTAATGTTATAATTCAATCCCTAATTTCGGTTCTTCGGTTCGGTACAATACGGGACAGTTCGGTTCAATTTTCGCTACGGATATTTGTGAAATCTCCAGAACCGTACCAATTATTTTTCGATTCGGTTCGGTTCGAAGAAAGTCAAACGGTCAACAATTATTTTTCGGTTCGGAGTGATTTCGGTTCAATTTTCGGAACGATTCGAAATTCTCTGAGTCCCATGCTAGCCCTAGCTACAACCAAGATGACATTTCTGCATTACCAAGATGTGCCCTTAAAACAGCAAGGCAGCAGTAAAACAAATAAAATGACTCAGAAAATACTACCCTACAAACAACAAAAGGTGAAAAGCAAAGTCCTATATTAATTAATGGTTGCAAATTTTAAAAGTCCCAGCCATTAATTATTGTGTGAAAACCTTAAACTAATGACATCAAAAGTCAACAAGCACCTTCACATAAGTTGTTACTTTTTTTGTTACACTTGAAAATGATTGGTCCATCACGAGAGGAGGGATACAAGTGAGACGAACTCGAGCGTGACTCGTCCCTTGGATCTTGTGTTGATCACAAAGTGTTCCGGGTATTTCCTCAGCAGCATCAGCAGCCCAAACCACGGCTTTCCTTGGGCTTCTGGGCTACAATAATCCTCCGATGTCAGATATTTCCTCACTCGACTGTGGTGCCAGATGCTGCCGAATTGTTCCTCCAACTGTATAATTTACAAACCACTTCAATTAAAACTGTATAGCAAAATGGAGGCAATTCATTACACATTCACACACACGCGCATACAAAAGAAGATGAAAATAAAGGAAAAAGGGGAAAAGAAAAAAAAAAAAAGAAAGAATGCACAGCGGCAGTAAAATGAGAAAAGGTAAATATGTTTACACCATCGCTCACAAGTTCGTAATTACAAAAGCCAAAATAACATCAATGACAGATATTACAAATACCAAAGGCTATATCTCATCTCTAAATTGACAATGTGGCTTAAGATATCCGTCGCTAATTTAAACTGTCACATAGGTAACCATCCATCGCTAATTTCATCCCTTGCTAAGTTCTGTTTTCTTTTAGTTTTTATTTACTTATTATTTTATTATTTTTTTTGGGGGTGGAATGATCATGTCATATATAACTACTTCCCAAGTGCACACCCATACTTCCCAAGTGCACAAACCCAACCATATGTAAGTCGACTTCGATTGCGTCCATCGATGAGGTGTTTTGGATTAACAAACAACTACAAGAAAAGAGCCTTTGACTTGGCCTTCAATTCCAAGTTTGAACAAATACTTGTTTTATTTCCAATCAATGAACTACTTACATTAAAAGGGAAAATATGCTCATATTGAATGCAATGTAGCTTTGCACAAAATTTTTGCATGTCATTTCCAGTTTTTTTTTTTTTTTTTGTTTGCATAAAATAAGTGATCAACTAGAAAATAAACAAACAAAAAAGGCATACTGCCTAATTTTACTACAGTTTTAAGTTAGATTAGCAAATGTGTTATAGTCTATTCGGCTCACTTTTTATTAGGGTCGTAAACAAATCGAATCGAAGCGAATATTCAACTATTAGATTCGGATTTGGGAAAATATCAACTATTTGCATTCGTATCAATAGTAATCGAATTTAATTTGTGATTCGTATTCAATTCGTTTAAAATAAACGAGTATACTCAATTCGATTTGAAATTTGCTTTCAAAAATTATTTATAAATAAAAAATATATTTTTATATGAATATATTAAAAAGTAGTTGTACAAAGTATTTTGATATTTAATATAATTTTGAATATATTTATATATTTGTTAAATAACAATATACTAAAAAAATAAATTTTTTTAAATATAAATTTATATTAAATTTATATATATAAATTTATACTTATATATATTATAAGAGTACAAATTTATATTATATATAATATATTCGATTATTTTGAATCAAGTATGTCCATATTCAGATTTGAATAAATTTCAAATACTAACTACTATTACAAATTCCAATTCGAATTTTCACGAATACCGAATTCGAATTACGAATCGATTAAAAAAAATTATATTCTTTTACATCCCTACTGTTTGTCACATGTTTGTTCAGTTTGGAGAAAAATGATGTGACCAGCGATAGGTAGAATAGGACACCATCCCCACTCCCATTACAAATACAATATACATTACCTAAACTCCACCTGAGGTAGAAAAACAAACCTCAGTCAAATTTTTAAAATTATAAAATCACCCTCAAGGTCTGATTCGAGTTTGTATTGACTCCACAAATGTCAGTTGACATCATAAATAACAAATAATTTATGACCGCACCTTCCAAATATTACAAATGCTCCAACTTCTCTTAGAATAGTAAACCAAAAAGTTGAGGCTATTTGTAATGTTGGAAAAGTTTGACAGATACAAAGGTAAAAGATATTAGTGAACTTAGCACTTCCCTTTAGCTGCGCAACGAGTAAGCATATGGAAACTTCAAGGGTAACAACAACAACAACAACAACAACAACATACCCAGTATATTCCCAACTGGTTGGGGTCTGGGGGTCAATTGTACGCAGACCTTACCCTTGTAATTATACAAGGAGGCTGTTTCCAAGGCTGTTTCCGTAGCGACCCAAGGTAACATTTTAAGAAATTTAAAGTCAGCTGGGGTTATTTGTAATTAGCCAAATCCCAAAGATCCTTTTAAAATTACTCTTTTATCTTAGGAACATTTCCTATCTCTGGGTATGAGCTATAAAAATTCGTAATCCTTCAAAAGGATCAATAAATATGTTCATGCATCTTCTAGATCATTCTACTCTCAGCACTGCAACAAGTATCAAATGCTGCAACCTACTCAATCTGCATCTTTACTTTTTGTAGCGAAACTTATCACAATCTACCTTGCCATTGTCGAATTTCCAATTCATCCTTAACCACTTAGATAGAGGCAACAGAGTCTAGCTGTGATCACCATAATCAGAAAGTTGCCATCTCAATTATGTACTCATGGGACCAATTAAACTTTATTCATGAATAGAGGTTATATAGAAGGGTTGTTATCAGTTTCTCCAGATCATGACTTTACCTATGGCTTTGATGAAAAGCTTCCCAACTATTGTTCAGTTCACCAGAGCAAGATAATCTAACTTATTTTCTTCTAACAGAAAAGTAAATAATTGTAAGCCATATCAACAACGATGAACCATATCAAACATCAAATAACAATCATCAAGCAGCCAAAGCACAAGTCAAATAGTCAATAATGTCGACAAACACAACATCACAACTAGTAGCCCCAAAATTGGCTCCCCAAAGATGACGTCAAACCATGGCCTCTGGCCCAGGCGAGACTTTATTAAATGTGAACGGAGACATTAGATAAACCACCAGATCATGATGCTAACATCCACTTACTATAATAGAAAAGAAGAAAGCAAAACTCCGGCATTAAACCATGAAAATGCTTAATTGCCAAAAATCAGATTATAGAGAAGAATTGACCTCAGTATGAAGTTTCTCCATCGGCATCCATTCTCCAGGGCCGCACAGATCAGATAACACATTGGCAACAGACGACACAACATCCTTTTCTTCTAACTGAAGAAGCTGTTGGTTATCAGTTTCTCTATCAGCTCGTGACCTTCCATCAGCCTTCTTATCTGCATCATATCCAGATTAAATCATAACTATTGGTATCTTCAACAACCATTAACGATGCATCTGAAAGAGATAGTTTTTATCTAACTTAAAGAAGCTATATGAAACTCCTTACTTCATGAATAGACTAAAACCTATTTCAAAAATAACATATGATGTCTTAACCAAAAACGCCAGCATAATCAGGAGCTAATCAATGCACTGAAATTAGCAGAGAAAATCTCTTAAATGTTAATCGAAGTGGTGTTGAAATGGAGCAGAAATAATATTATCATTTTCACAAACCCATTTAAATCGAATTGGGAGTGGTGTTGAGGAGTTCCAGAGCTGCCAAAGCAAAAGCAACACATTATATGTTAAAGATGCATTTTTAGCCAAGATCATATTGGTTTGCACACTAATTTAGAACAACAAACGAGAGAGGGAAGATGAAGTAAACCGAAAATAGACAATTCCATTTGGGCCAAAAATTCAAAATAACTGGAGCAGCACCAGGATAACCTGAAAACCCACCCTTCCCCCTTGAACTATAACTAGGATAGCCATCAACCCCTTCAATCCTCCTCATCCTCCTCCCTTCCGACGACCCTTCCTCCCCAGCACCACCACCTTCCCCCGCATCATTATAATCACTCCACCCTTTCCCCTTTTTCCCATAACCGGAACTCCCGCTGCCTGGGGGAGGTGGAAGGCCAGGACGTTGCGGCTGCTGATTTTGATACTGAATGCCGGAATTGTTCAGGTGATGCCTCGGCCCAATCGGCCCGCCCAAAATGCTCCTCACTGGCAAGAGGAAGTAAAACTCCTTGTCCCCGATTTGCAAGAGATCCTGAGAATCTAGCTTGACCGGGGGGTTGCCGGGGAGGTGGAGGACGCCCTCCACGAGGCAGCCATTCTTGCCGAGAACCTCGAGCGCGAAGCGGCGGCGCTGGAAGTCGTAGAAGATTCGGGCATGGTGGCGGCTGATGTTCATCCCGCCGCCGAGAGAGGACAGGTCGACGTCGACGGTCGATTTCTTGGAGTTGCGCCCGAGGATGATGGAGTATGTCTGCATGTAGTACTCGAAATCCTCGCCTTGTAGCTTCGCGAACCCCGCCTCCACATCGCTGCTCCCCATTCACAAGTCCAATTAGGGTTTTCTGATCTTCAGAATAATCGACTTTGGGTTGCAGGCTATGTAGGTATGTAGGTAGGTACAAATTCTGGAGTTAAGCGGCGAGTGGGATTTTTGAGATAGAGGCAGCAGA